AGCAATCAGGGAATGGACCACAGGAGGGAAACACAGCTGGGGCAAATTAGACCTGACGAGACAAGGAAACGTAAACTGAACACACTAAGATAACACAGACTTTCAAAGTAAAACAGGAAATACATGACAGTCACGGAAAAACAAAACACTGACAACACCGAAACGTAACAATTACATGTTACTATGTGCTGCTACATTATAAACCTTGGATATGGCAGTTATCATAGCCACATGGCAATTTGACAAGAATCAAAGAAAATTTTCATGCTCTTGTTTTTAAAAAAACACCTTTTAAAATGAACAGTCTAACTTTTAGAGGTTAAACGTTTCAGACTGCAGGGATCCTGCAGTACAGGTATTGCAAAATTAAAAAAATATGGAAAAAAGAGGAAAATTGTTCTCTTACACAGGAACGTTCAATTTAGTTGTTTAAGGAGCTTGGAAAGATAAGCGTCTGGACTTCTTTAAGTTTCCTTTAAGACGTTTCACCTTCTCATCCGAGAAGTTTCTTCAGTTCTAAGAGCAACTAGTGGAGAGTCCCTGATTTTAAGCCCTATGGGAGAGTCCCTAAGAGGGTCATGGACCTCCGATTGATCCTCTACCTAATCACACGAGCCAAGGTGTGAAAACCGGCATGGGTCACAATCAGCCAAGGTTTTGCGTGTACCCATTGTGAAGCCTAGCCCCATCCTATCATGTGATTTACTGAGGGCTAGGTTTCACAATGATCCTCTATGAGCAAACACTTTGGCAAAAGCGGGAAGGAAAAACTCCCTTTTAACAGGAAGAAACCTCTTGGAGAACCAGGCTCAGGGATGGCTGGCCATCTGCCGCAACTGGTTGGGGTTGAGGGGAGGAAGACAGGACGAAGACACGCTGTGGAAAAGAGCCAGAGATTAATAATGACTAATAATTAAATGCAGAGAGGTGTACGAAGTATTGTGATGAAATATTGTGTCATAATAAAAGGCATAAAACTACTTCACTTCTAGAAAGACTTTGATTTTTAAAATTCACAGTACAATTTAATGCAACTACAAGGTAGAATATGCAAGTATATCATTACAGTGCTAAATGAGATCAGACACAGCAGATTTCTAAGTGCTTAAAGTATGCCGTGTCTTTTTAATCAGAGTATATCATTGAGTCAATTAAATGTTTGAGATATTCCCATTGGACCAGTTTTATTTGATACCTTTTTTTAAAGTGTGAAATCTTTATGTTAAATCTTCTTTTTAAAAAAGAAAAAAAAACTTGACTTATCTTTGTCTAATGTTACTATTATTGTTTGATGACCTGAAACATTCAAGTATGAGAAGAAGAGAAGAAGAAATCAGGAAGGGGCAAAGACTTTTATCACAGCACTGTTCATTAATGGTAACCAAATCAAATGAAGCTCAGTCTCGCCACTTCAGTCAAGTATCTGCTCTTTTATTTCCAAGTGTATGTGCTCGAGCACAGAGGGAGAAAAAATGGTTCCATGTGGTCTGCACTGTATATTGGGTATGAGGGGACATCAGTGATGCCTTTCAGCATTCAGTTCCAGTTCATTAGAGGACCAATGAAACACAAGCCTTTGTGCCCTAGTGAATGTCAAAAGTGTTTTATTCCTTTACAGTTCAGTTAACAGAGTTAGTGATTTTTTTCCTCACTAATTGTTTTTATTTTAGCTTTATTGTTAACTTTGTATTGTTGCTTTGATTCACTTACTAGGTACAGGCAACAAAAACGTCTTGGCTAGGTTTGGCACTAAAGTATTTAGGCAAAGAAAACTATATTGCCAGGTTAATACACTAAAAAAGAGTTACGTTTAGGTGCTGAAAATGACTTGGTTACTTTTAGGAAAACATTGAAACACCCCTTCCAGTCATCTCACTCGGAACACACGCCAAATCTACCCAAATAACTGACACCCTGGGAATGAGAATGAGCTTAATACTCAGCATTCACACAATAAACACAGACTCAATTACAGGATCCTTATATTTACAATGTTAATTAATGCTGTTATTATGTTATCAACAGAAAATTCAACAACCATCATGAAAATATTTTAAGTGTAAAAGTAAGATGTACTACTTTATTCCGGGGAGGTATATTTCTGTTGCAAGGCTCAGCTTAGCCTGTGGGTCTGCCAAGTTCTGGTATTGTAAATTATGTGCAATAAAAACGATGGAGAGAACTTTTGAGTCACTTTTAAGAAGTCCATTTCTCCGCCTTACTTGTACTTGCAGATAATAACCTGGAGACTTTAATGAAAGTTCTTTTTTTAGTTGGATTTTAATGAAGCCATATGTAAATTTAAATCTCCCTAAACTCCACCAGCACTTCTGTCCCATCATAATGAAGCTCATCTGCTCCCTTTCTTTCTGTTTTTATGGTTTGATCTTGTGCCTGCATGTGCACAGGCATGCACAGGCGCTCACACAATAATTGCTTTCTTTTTTCCCTCTCGTTCCAACACTAGTTCCATCCTTCTGGGGTCTGGTGAACTCAGCCTGGAACCTGTGTGCCATTGGGAAAAGGCAGTCTCCCATCGACATCGAAACCAGTCACATGATTTTTGACCCGTACCTGACCCCTCTCAGGCTCAATACAGGAGGACATAAGGTAAGGGTCACCAAATGAAAATGCTTCCTAATGGTTTTCACGTAGCGATCGAGGAGCTTTAGCTCATGTTTTGAGACAAAACTCATCAAATGTCGAGACACAAGCAGGACTGTCCTTCTGTGACAGTCGCTGGGCTTTAATTCATCAGGGTGAAAGAACACAGACCAGGACACTACCTCTAAATCAAGAAGCAGAGAAACTTTGGTCAGAGACAATGATTCATCTATATCCAAAGGATTTAAAATTCCCAGCTGCATTTTGCTGCACCAAGGCTCAGGAGGCATTACAATTTTAGCCCTTTACACAGCAATCACAGTTAATCTTTGGAGGAAAAATCCTCTTTAAAGCACCTAAAATCACAGTTAAACACAGCTTGTGGGATGTTGTACTTTTCATCCTGGATTCATTATGACAGTTTGGAAATGTATTTTAGTTATTGGCTATAATAATGTCAGTGTGGGGAAAAGGGGTCTGGCTACAAGAGTGCAAATTTAGCTTTGTCACAAATTTAGAGTGGGCAAGACTTCCAACACCCTGCCTCAGGTGGGGGTTAGCTGGTGGTTCAGGGGCTGGACTGGCCTTGTCCCGGGGTCACAGCTGGCCTTGGAGGTGGGTTGGGGGGTGGTCAATCTCCCTGCACGTCGGATTGATGAGGATGGGTGTGAACCTTTCTGCATTTTAGAAATTTAAGGTTCTGTCTGAAGGCGGAACAAGGACATATTTTGTAAAAGCAGCTGACAGAAACCGAGAAAGGGCTTATGTGTTAATACATAAGCCCTAGGCTATTTTTTATAGAAATTTGACCTGAAATTTCCCATTCAGTCATCATGAACAGTTACAGAACTGTAAGTACAAACTGCACAACTACGGGGCAAAATTGTTCCCAGTTAAACCTGTAAATTAGAGTGAAAATACAAGCCAGCTGTGGTGATGCTTCTAAATCTGTTCTGAAAAATTCTCACCTGTAACTCCACCAAATGTAATACATCAGAAATGAAAGCGCAATAAATGCTGCATTCATTTCAGTCGGAGTAATACCAGACTACTTTTTCACTTCAGTGTGCCACACTCTGAAACCCTCAAATAACAGCAGCTGGTTGCAGTTTAATAACAGAAAAGGCTCACTCCTGCTACAGGGACCACTGGGGTTGAAAGGGATACGGACTGTATTTGAGTTGCAGTGCAGGAAATTTAGGCTGGGACAACAAACCCCCATAAGGCCAGATAGTGAATTTTTCTTAAACTTCCCTCCTTGTGATTCGTAAAAAGAGGCCAAGACTTGACAAATGAGATGTTTATAGCAGAACATTGTTACAGTTGCCACTGTGAATGACATACAAGTAGCTATTCGGGGGCAATAAAGAGAGTAATGTGAGGTCATCAAAAGGTATTGAGAAGCAGGACAACAATTTAACTCCTCGTTTAAATTAGTCCAATTTGCCCATAGACAGGTTGCTATGGTAACTCAGAAAACCATTATAGTTAAAAACTGGGGGGGAAAAGCAATCTTAAATGATAGTGTGTAATGACAAAATAAACTAAACTAAAATATCAAATACTGAATACTGAAGGTATTTAGTTTTAGTCTTTATCAGCCAAATTTGTCATTACATTAGAAATAAGGAAGCTTTTGCGCTCCCAAAATGTTCATGTTAGCTGAAAGAGGCAGCTCAGCATGATCCAGCCTATGGTAATCTGTTATTACTGGATAAAAGTGGACGGTTTTCAGCTGTAAGAACATGAACTTTTGAAAGCTCATGTTCAAGGTCATCTACTCAGATATGTTGGGATAGACAGAAAGCATTAACTTGACTTTTAAACTTACCTGAATTTTCTGTCAAGGTTGGTGTTGAGAGCTTGGTCTCCAGCTATAACTGAGCAGTTTTCAGTTTCTTTGCCTTTGGGCAAAGAAGGTTCTGGCAGGTTCTCCCAGAAACAACACTGGGGGAACAATGCCTTTATTTCAACATTCATTGGATTGCACACTGTGAATTCATCCCTCGGGGAAACTGTCAACATGCAGGTCTACTGTAGTATCCTGAGGGATCTGAGGGATAAATATTCAGAGAAAACCTTTTGAATTGTGATTTAAAGGAACTTCTGAAAATCTAATAACTGGAGCTACACGAGGTTCACGAGAAAGTATCTTGAATGTGAGATTAGCCAGATTTAAAACATGTAAGGATTGTAATATTTATAGGCCTGTTCTCAGAACTATTTGACATTAACATTGTTCCTTATTCTTAAAAACAAAACAAAAACACAACTTTTTAGCTGCATATATATGAATACAGGGTAATAAGATACATTAGCCAACATAACACGTGTAACTTATGAGCAAATCCTTAAATAAGCAAAGAAAGTACATTGCACAAATCATAGGTGATGAACTATGAATTTTACAAATTTCTCTTGCTTTAACCTGTAATGTAATTATATTTGACATCTACATCGTTGGTTTTCACTTTTCCCTTGAAAGCAGTTCACTACCAGCATTCATTAAATAATTGTTCTTGTGGGACTTGCATATTTCCTTTATTTTCAATAATCCATCCTGAAAATGAGTCCGACTTCAAACGTAATGTACATTTTTAACATATCTTCCTTTGATTCAGGACGTAGTCTGTTCTGAATCATAAGTCATTATTTCACAACATAATGTCTTTATGAAAATTTCACTGCCAAAGGCTGCTTTGATCTTGAACAATATGGTGCTTTGCTGTTAGATTTCATTGTTCCCTTCCAAAATCCAGATGCTTTGCTAGCTCAAAATGGATTTAATGTTTTCTAAGGTTTGATGTGATGATGACTGTGGGTGATTCATATCCACAGTTTATGCTCTGAATACTGACTGCCTTCAAGCTTTCTCTCGGAGCACATGACACACATTTGTTTACTTTAGGAATAATGATCATTTTCCTCTGGAACTTTCAAACTTGAGAAATGCTGAATAATAATAATAATAATAATAATAATAATAATAATAGTAATGATGGTATTCTATGTATGTCCATATGATTGGACAAATGAAATATGTCTATAAACTACTGAGGTTACCAATGGGTGTAACTTGTTTATGGTTTAAACTGATTAAAATACTTACTTCAAATAAAAAGCTTTGTTTCTTTTTCTGTATGTAGAAACTGCAAGATCGAGGCAAAATGGGATGCTTAATTACAAGATGCTGAATCCTGCCCATTGATTACATGTTTTTTTTCTTTCTCTGTGGCACTACTTGGACTTGGTACTTAAACACTGCTTTTTTTTCTTTTTTCTTTTTTGTGTCCCGTTTGGATCTTTAGCCATCAGAATTGTTGTCTTAAGGCCAAGAAAGATGCCGGATTTATTTTACCAAGTGGATCATCATGGCCTTGCCATATTGGTCCATTTGATTGACCTTTATTATAATTATGAATTTATTTTATTTTCAGTTGCTACAAACGGGACAGACATGTCTGGGGGATAGGACAGGGAGAGAGAATGAAAGAAAGAGAGGGAGAGAAAGAAAACCAAAGGGGAGAAGAGA